GGTTAAAGTCTGTATGCTCAAACGTCTCCACTGAGATCCTCCCTTCTCTGAGCTGCTCTTCGATTCTTCTCTCATACAGTGATAGTTAAATAGAAATGTGACCCTGCAGATCGGTTTGTACAAGTGTAACATGGACATCCCTCCAGTCTGTATAGATTTGTCACATTCACTGCTCTAATCCCACCCTCAACTCTTCTGTCTGGTTCAGATCTTCATCTCGTCTTATCTGCTCATGTCCCCGTGGTGGACAGCCTGCTGTGCTCCCACCCCAGGACCTTTGCTGTTCCTTTGGGGCGGCAGAATTTTTCCATAGCCCCAGAGCTCACTCTCTCCCATTTTAGGTATCTGTCACTTTTCAATATCCTATGTAGGACAAATCTTTTAAATACCGAATTTTTTTTTTTAAAGATTTATTTTTTTATTATTTTTTCATTGGAAAGGCGGTTATACAGAGAGGAGAGACAGAGAGGAAGATCTTCCGTCCGATGATTCACTCCCCAAGTGAGCGCAACGGGCCGATACTATGCCGATCCGAAGCCAGGAGCCTCTTCTGGGTCTCCCACGCGGGTGCAGGTTCCCAAAGCTTTGGGCCATCCTCGACTGCTTTCCCAGGCCACAGGCAGGGAGCTGGAAGGGAAGCGGGGCAGCCAGGATTAGAACCGGCGCCCATATGGGATCCCGGGCGTGCAAGGCGAGGACCTTTAATCACTTGCGCCACCATGCCGGGCCCCGTAAATACCGAATTTTTTTTGTAAAAACTTTTTACTAACATGTATGTACAGAAGCTGCTAGATTCCACATGAGCTGAATCATGTAACTGAAATGGTGATTTGTATGAACTGTTTCTAAAGAATACCTTTGTTTTCTGTATTTACTAAACAATGCACGGAATATATTTTAACTTTTTAATGAACAAAGGCCATCATAATAAACACAGCCTGATGACGTATAACCAAATGCTATAGTGTTGTCAGTGTTGAAGAGGAGTGCCGTCTCTACCATTCTCTCTCTCTCATAATTAGTATATACAATTATGAGAGAGGATAATTAGCACAGCAGTTCATCCTGCCATTCTGTCTTGATCATGCAAACAGGTAATTTAGAGTCCAGAAACCATGGGGGCATTGTTTCCTCTTCTTCACACACTCAAAATAAAGGCCAGACACACACATTTGCAGCCTTTTATCACTCAGAAGTCTTGGGTTTTAAGTACATCTTGTTAGAAAGGTCTGTACTGACAGTGGATTCTACTTACCTTAAGGTGAGAGAGAAAGCAAAATGGCGAATATTTGCCAGTTTTCAAAAAATTAGAATGTTGTAGAACATATTTGTTTCTGTTCTCTAATTAGCACCTTGGGTGTTTATGTCCGTGAGTTCTTCATATGTTGTAAGGAGAATGGAACTGCTGATATGATACACGATATACCGAAATGTTGAAATGGTTGATTATGTCACTTTAGTAAAACCTAGAAAATACCCCACTATCAGTATAATTGATTCTTGTTGCTATGCACTTAAAAAAAAAAAAACCACAGTTTAAAAAAAAAATAACCCTGTTAGGTTTACTCTTTTTTATTAAGGACTGATTATATGTACTTGAATCATTAATAAGATAGGTACCAGTTTAACAGGTATTTGATAACTTACTGTGTTGAAAAGTGGTGATTTCTTGAAGGATCAGCTGTAATTACTATCTTAGCTGTATAATCTTCAAGTATAATTGACTAAATTTTTTGCATGTAAAATCTTAAATGGCAATCAATAGTGGAGAGATTATAGTTGATTACAACAGTCTGTATTTTGAAGAAGTATGTTGTATTCTTAGAAGTCTTCCATGCAGATAATAATGTTTGCATTGTGAATAGTGCGTTACTTTGTACTTTTCACACAACAGTCCTTCGTCCCCGATGACGCTGACACTCTGGGGATGACGTGGTGGCTCACTGCGCAGTTGTTGCTGTAGTCATTTGGTGTCATGCACATAAATAATTCAAAGCTGTTAGTTCTCTGAAACTTGTTCTGAAGAGCCATTCTAATAGAACTGATCCCATTCATATGATGATGATTTCTGCAATGTTCTGAGAACTTTTTTTGTTTGTTTTCGTTAAATGTGTTATTTCCTGTAAAGTTTAGGGCAGGTAATATCTGGCTCATGTTAATATTTTAAAAAGTTATTCTCAGTATTTAACTTTGTATTTTAATCAGGGCTAGAATGTTAAATTCTTGATATAAGAAAGATGTAAAATATGTGTACTTTTGTTTATTGTTGCAGACATGGTTGGTAGTGTAAATAGAGTTTAGTTTTGATATTTTGAGATGAGTGAAATGTTATGAGAATATTCTTGGTAATTTTAGTCTGAAGTAAAGCACATTAACATTTGTATAGTGTATCAATTATAGTCCATGTTTTATTAAATTGCCTATTAAAATAACAGTATATTATCCACATAAAACATTTGAGTAAATTATTTAGAATATTTGTATTTTTCAGTACAGAATTAGGATTTGGACTCAGTAATTCTGAGGTTTCTGCCAGGCAACATGCCTTTATTGAATTGAGCTTGATAGTAATGATTGTTGGAACCCAAGGAGTATCTGTACTCTTCAAGTTTATCTTGAAAGCAGCTAGCATGGCAACACTGAATCAGAAGGATTATAGATGCTAAGGAATTTCTGTTTTATTTCTGAAATCAGTAATGATTTGTTGGATTGTTATATTCTTGCACAAAAAAAATGTGACTTGTTATTTTTGACTGAATGAAATAAAAATAGTCTTAAAAATTCTTCAGGAATATGTAAATGGACATAATATATACAAATAACATTTCCTTGTTATTTGTGTATACTACATTTTGTCCTGGAATAAGTCTGATGTAGGTATTTTACATATGCAGGAATATTTTCATTTAATAGCTTTCAAATTTAGATAATTATAGACTGAGAGATGCAGATTTAGAAGAAGATTATAGAAATTTTAGGAGAAAGTGTACGTTCAAACTTTCTCCTTATTTCTCTGCTTCCTCATGTTCTTCAGCATATGTAAAGCAACTACCTCGGTGGCCTCTAGTTTTCAGTCAGCCTAGGTGACTCTTAGATACATAATTTTCGTTTTGTATCAGTATTGCTTGTCTATCTTGGTATGATATTGTGCAGAGTATGTTTCCAGCAGTTTTGGCTGTCAACTATATGTAATCTCAAAGCTGCTTGAACTTCCTCATCTCCATTTCCTCTTATGCAAATAAAACATATAATACCACGTAGCATATGAGTTGTGAGAATTAAGGTTATATATCACAGTATTTTGTAATTTATGAAAAATTTTGAAATATATAAAATAAATTTTATGTTCTCTTATTCAAAAGCATGTTTTGGGAGGCAGCTAGTACAGAGGACGACAACTTTGAATTTGCCTGTTTTTTCGTGAAAGCTTAGTATTTTCATGAAATGGATCATAGGCTATTGTAAAGAACCATCATGTTGTGGGTTGTGATAAACGTACACTGATATTAGGTTTTTCAGACTTGGTGAAGAAAACTACTTTGGTTCTTGATCAGTTCATCTCATTTGATAACAGAGCATAGGCTATTAACATTGATTGACTTTGGAATCATCAGTTGTTTGAGTTCTGCTTGAAGAACCTGTAATCTCTAATATAATTCTTTTGTTTGGCATATTTGAAACTGTTTCAATTTAACCCTCTGCCTGCCAGTATCCCTACTTTCAATCCAGCTTCCTGCTTGTGGTCTAGAAAGGCACTGGAGGCTAGGCCAAGCTCTTGAGCCCCTGCACCCACGTGGGAGACCTGGAAGAACTCCTAGCTTCGGATCAGCTCAGCTCCTGCTGTTGTGCCGTTGGGACGTGAACCAGCAGATGAAAAATCTCTCTTCCTTTCTGCCTTGCACAATCTCCCTCTTTCTCTCTGTAACTCAGTCTTTCAAATAATTTTTTAAGACTTACTGCTATTTTGTTGTTAGTTTTTTTTTTTATTTCAGTAGATGTATGTTAAATGGCAATTTACGTGTCAGGCATTTTACTTAATACCAAGAGTTTATACTGAACAAAATAATATTTATTGAGTGTTTACTGGCATGGTGCTAAGCCTTTTTAATTATTTCATTCAGTCCTTATAACAGCACGGTGAGATAGGTGTAATTGTCCTTTTGCATAGGAGTGCTAAACATATTGTTTGCTCTAGATGCTGCACAAGTGGGTTCCATGCCAAGCTGTGTAGTCTTCATTCTGTTCTTAACCACTATGTAGCCTCAGGTCTTCTCTCACCACTATTTGATACCGCCTACAGCGTATACTGCTTTTTCTTAGGCAACTCACAATTTAGTGTCAGGGAGGCAGATGTATCAGAAGAGCTAGAAAAACAGGACAGACATATAGACAGGGTTCTTAGTAGCACGGCAAGAGTACATATGAGAGAGCTTTTAGAACACAGGTAAAGGAGCAGTTAGCAGATGGTAGAGGAGGGAGACAAGTTGTAAAATGTAGTGACTTTGAAGAAAACTTGAGTGATAAAAGGAGCTTAACGTAGGACTGGGATGGGCTCAGAGTGATTAGCAGGTGGTTTCTCAAGAAAAATTAGTAGTAACTGACCTTGGTTAGCGTAAAAGAGGTTGGTTATGATTTACTGTTTCAGTGTAACGTTAGATGATGACCACCGACCGACTGCCCCCTTGTGGAATAATTTCGGCAAGTTGTTCAGAGTTGTAATGGAAACTTTATTGGAAAATCTGCTCCTGGGCCCCCTTCACGCAGAGGGGAAGGAAGAGGGAAGCGAAAAGAGCAACTGAGATACGTGTGGAGGAGTTTTATACCCCTCTAGACACGTGGGCAGGCAAACGGGTTGTCCATGCCCCAACTATGTAAGGAATGTCCATTCAGGTGCGCCATTGGTCAACTGGAATCCCGCCAGGTCAGTGACGTAACTGGCTCCAGTGGCCCCTCCTGTTCCAGGCTGAAGCCTGGGAGACATGCCGGGTCTGGAGCAGACCAGCCCCTCATCTGCAGTGCCCTGGGCAGCCATCATGTAACATCAAATGAAGTGTCAAGTAACATTAAAGTTTGAAATTCAGGCTTACTGTTTATGAATATCAAACATTTAAGACTTTTGACCAGTTATTTTTTCTGGCTTATGCTTATTTTTGTTTTGATATACTATAGTTTTCATAATAATATACAACAAGAATTATGACTAATGAATTTAAAAATGTGAAAATCAGAGCTCTAGAGAGAATCTTCCCTTCACTCCCCAGTTGGCCACAGTGATGGAGCCGGGCCAGGCTCAAGCCAAGAGCCAGGCGCTTCATCTGGGTTTACCATGTGGGTGACAGGCTCAAACCTGTGAGCCATCCATCTTTTGCTTTCCTCAGGACTATCCCTGAGGAGCTGGGTTAGGAGTGGAACAGCCAGGATGTGAACTGGCACCTGTAATGAAAGCTGCCATTGCAAGTGGCAGCTTTACTTGCTCTGCTACAGCACTGGCCCTCTGATAGTTGTTTTGTAAATTGTATTTTAAATGTAGGAGGAAATCTGGTGGAGAAATTCCAGCTCAGAGACTGTAAAATCTGCAAAGTCATTTGGATTAGTCATGCTAAGGCCAACTCAGATAGGACTTGAAATCCAACAAATCCATAGCAGGTAATTTTTTTTTAAGTTGATAATTTTGTATAGCCCACAAATGATGTTGTAAGTATCCAAATGACCCTTGGCAGAAAAAAAAATTCCCCACTCTTGCTAGGGCATGAATGAAAGTACTTCATTTTGCACTTTGTCACTAGAAGTGACAGAGGTAAATATTCCTTAAACTTCAGAATCTTTCCATGTCCTTTGAGCATTTCTAGAGATAAAAGGCATTGAGACAGCCATGTGCCCCTCACTTTTTTTTTTTTTTACTAGCTCTAATTGTTACAAATTTTTCCTTTTTATTGAGCTGAAAACTTGAGCAGATTTGTCACTTGGGCAAGAACAAAGAAGCCCAGCTGAAGTCAAGAGCAGATCTAGACCTCAGCATCTGTTTCTACGGAGTTCACAGTAAGCGCTCTTTCTCTAAAGCTTGCAATGTTTGCAGACAGTTACAGTGCTGCCATGTGACGGAGATGTCACCGGCTGGCACTCGTGCTGCCTAGGGAGCAATCTCAGAGGTGTCTTAGAGGAAAAACATAGTAGATTTTAAAAAGGATATGCATAATGAGAAGGCTTGGTTTCTCTTGTAGGTGTAAGATTTAACTATGTATTTTTAAGTTTTACTAAGGTAATATACATTTTTAGATTAAATATTTTTGCCTTCAAACTTTTATTGAAATATTAGCATTTGAACTATGCCCCAGTCATGAAAACTCATGCTAATGGTTTTTATAAAGTGAGTAAAAAGGACATTCCTGGCGTGTGCAAGGCGAGGACTTTAATCACTATGCTATTGCGCTGGGCCCGATATTGATATTTTTGTAGAGTAACAGAGTTACATGTATTTTAGGAACCATAAGACCTATGTCTTAAAGGTACTTAGATTTTCCTTGTATTAATATGACCAATTTAGTTCATAGATTTTTCTCCTTCCAGAAATTTGATGCTTATGTATGTGTGATTCAAATCTCTTCAAATACAGATTAGCACAATGGTTGGGAGAAAGTGAAGACCTTGCTGCTTTCTGTACTAATTCGGAAAACAAGAGAAGAATGCTGATCATTTTGATGCTGTTTACTGGGAAGCCCTAAAACAGCATCTTTGTTGCCTCTCTCTCTACATTACTACCTTAAGAGAGCTATAGATATTTTCCAGTGTTTATTTCATTTTTCATATTGAATTTTTATAAATCAGTGCAACACATCTGCAAGTCCTGATCATGTATAAGGGACGTAGACAATTGTAAAACTGGGCCCTATTTGAGATTTCAAGACATGAATGCGCAACAGTTTACCAGGCTTTGTGGTCTGTTCTGAAGCCAAATTTGAAGAGTATGTAGCATTTGCATAGGCTGTGAGGCGTAGGACAAACCTCCAGTTGGTATAGAAGGCCTGAACCCAGTAATATGTATGTCTTCTGTGGACATTAGGTGAATTCTTACATTAGAAAGTTTCTGTGCCTATTAAGGAAAATGTGTTTGGAAAATTTAATGGTAGTAGACCTTGCATGTAAAATCAGGTACTTTTGGTACTTTTGACTGTTGGTTTGTTTTCTTTTTTTGGTTTTGTTTTGTGACTCTTAGTGGAACTCCATTAAAACATTTGAATAGGCAAGTTATGGCTAATGGTGGTATGTAAGGTGAATTAAAAACTGTATAGGCCTGGTACAATGGCCCAGTTGCTGATTCTCCACCTTGCATATGCCAGGATCCCATATGGACAGCAGTTCATGTCCTGGCTGCTCCAATTCCAAACCAGCTCCTCATTGTGGCCTGGGGAAGCAGTCGAGGACAGCCCAAAGCCTTGGGACCCTGCACCTGCGTGGGAGACTTGGATGAAGTTCCTGGCTCCTAGCTACAGATTGGCTCAGCTCTGGCCATTACAGTCACTTAAGAAGTGAACCGGTGGATGGAAGATCTTTCTCTTCTCTGTATCTCCTTCTCTCTGTGAATCTGCCTTTCCAATGAAAAAAATTAATAATAAAAAAACTGTAGGGCTACATTCCTATCACCTTATTTGTTCCTTCCTTTAATGAAGGAAAATGAACCGTGTTTCAAGTTTTTTAGGACCTGGTGTTGTGGCATAGGAAGTTAAGCTGCCACCTGCAATGCCAACGTCCCAGGTGTGTCTCTTGACTGCTCCACTTCTGATCCATCTCTTCTGCTAGGGGCTAAAAGCAGCAGAGTATGGTGCAAGTGCTTGGGTCTCTACCTCCCCACTGCAGAGTCCTGGCTGAAGACTTTGGTTTGGGCCTGGTTGTTGGGGCCTCTTAGAGAGCGAACCAGCCAGCTGGAAGACTGTTTCTCCCTGTCTCTGTAACTCTGAGTTGGAAATAAATAACTGATTTTTAAGAAGTTTTTTGAAGTCTGCAGTTTATAATTCAGTGCAAACATCTTTGTAAAAAGCAAGGCTACTAGTGTTGCTCATATAAATGCTTGAATAATTATTCATGGAAAATTGAGGTGTTAGGTAGTTTGGGCTTGAATTCTGGTTTTGCCGCACACTGTAAAGTTGAACTAATCCTTCAGCATTTCTGAGCCGTACTCTTCATTTAGAGACAGAGGCTAGTAATACCAGCAGCGCAGGGTGTGAGCATTCAGTGAGATAAGCGGCCGAAGCAGTTAGCGCAGTCTGACAGACAGTATCTCCGATGAATACCATGTCTGGTGTTGATACCATTGTCACTGTATCATCATCATGAACGCAGAACTGTCTATTCCGTATTCTTCTGTGGAACAACACAATCTGAATTTTGGTCTGGTGCTGCAGGCATGCTCTTTCCCCCTGGTGTTTCCTGCCAGAGCCAAACTGCAGGACCTACTGACAGCCTCTGGACTTTGCCTTTGTTCTGCTTGTCCTGCCTTGTTAATCAGACTGTGGTTGCTGCAGAGAAGGCACCATTTGTTGCCAGTTATGGGAGAGTGTGGTAAGCTTTGTAGAATACGTGCAGTATTAGGTATATGTGTGTGTTTCATATGGGTAGGCTGTGTTATGCTTTAAACTGTGGGTGTTGATTAATTCAAAAATTTAGATGTATCTTTACTTTTGTCAGGTTTAAGCCGTTTTTCCCATACCAAACCTTGCAAGGATTTGAAAAAGATGAAGAGCATATTCATGTACAACAGTGGGCACTTACTGAAGGCCGTCTCAAAGTCACACTGTTAGAATGTAGCAGGTATGTTCTTGATTTTGTCATTAGCACCTTATGGGAAATAAAGTGGGGTGAAAATGCACTTAAGTAGTAATTGTTTATTTCCCGTTTGTGTTTCTATTATTTACTTGTAGATACTTTAACTATACATTCAATTTCATAAAAATGGTCTTTTCTAGATTACCAAATACATACAGCATGTTTTAGAACGCGCTGGGGGAGAAGAGCTGCAGTGATTGTCAGACTTTTCAGCTGCATAGTGCTGTGCGTGTTTGTAACCTACTACACCTGCTGGAAAACTGTTCTATTACCACTGATTTGATCTTTGTTTCTAGAAGTTGGAATACTCAGAAAAGCAGTAAGCTCAGACTTTGAGCCCATATGAATTCTTAGCATTTTCGAACCAGAAGAGCTCTTAGAAATAACCTTGTCTAACCTCTTTATTTTACTTTGCAACACCATGATCCCGGCTGTGTTCACACTGTGCTGGAATCACTTTGCATTGGCCTTACTTACCTTCTAACACTGCTTCCCAGCATAACAGCCAGAGGAATCTCAAAATACAAACCGAATTGTCATTCTCCTAATTCCAGCTCTTCAGGAGCCTCCTCGTTCTTGTTACTGTGGACCAGATCCCCAGCGCCCGCAAGTCCCATCTGCCTCTCCCGCTTCTTTCTCACCATTCTTTTCCTGGTCCTATCATTCATAACACTTCAGCTACATGTGCCTTCGTAAAGGAAGGGGTTGGCAGGCTTTTTCTCTGAAGGAACAGTAGGCTTTGTGGTTCATATGGTCTGTTGCATCTGCCCAGGCCGTTTTATAGTGCATTCGTACACAGTATCTAAGTTAATTGATTGCTATGTGCCATTACAATTTGACATGGACTTCATCATTTTTATGTGTCATGAAATGTTCTGTTGAACCCAGCGGCCCAGAGGCAGTAGACAGGCTTGGACTATGGAATGAAGTTGGTCATTCTCTGCATAGATTTTTAAAATATCAAGCCTTGTGTGTTAATTCTATGCTTTTTTCCTAGCCTACTCCATTCTTTGCCTCTGAAATTAACTTTTCAGTGTGTGTGTGTGTGTGTGTGTTTTTTTAAGATTTATTTATTTGAAAGGCAAAGTTGCAGGGAGAGAAAGGGAGAGAGAAAAATTTCTTCCGTCTGCTGGTTAGTTTTATTCAAACAGCTAAAACAGCTGGAACTGAGCCAGTCTGAAGTCAGAAACCAGGAGCTGTCTGGATCTCTCATGTGGTACAGGGCCATGAGCGTGGGCCATGCTCTGCTGCTTTCCCGGACACATGAACAAGGAGCTGGATCAGAAGTGGAGCAGCAGAACTCCAACTGTAACTACCACACCACAATGCAGGCACCTCATAGTGTGTTGTAAAAGCTACCCCCTTAGGGTTAGGAAGCCTAGTGGTAAAGCCACTGCCTTTTGTACTGGTATCCCATATGGGTACTGATTGAAGACCTGGCTGCTCCACTTCCATCTAGTTCCATGCCAGTCTGCCTAGGTAGACAGGGAGGGAGGAGCACCCTCGTGCTTAGGTCCCTGGTCCACGTAGGAAATGCAGAAGCTCCTGGCTGTCAACTGATCATCTGATCTGCGGAGTGAACCAGCATGGAATCTCCCTAGTTTCTTCCCTTCCTCCCTCTTTCTGCCCTTCTTCTTTCTCTGTAACTCTGGCTTTCTAACAAAATAAATCTTTAAAAATGAATCTTATGTAAATAAGAAAAATTTGTACCTCCATATCTCTTACTCATTCTAAATGCAAGCGTATTATCCTTACACTTTCTTTCTGTGACATTTCTTTATACTACTTAGTTTTTACTTATCATTTATTTTTATTTCCAACCCATATTAAAAATAAAGACGTTAGTACCCAGATTATATTTTGTACCTAATACAATTGTATCCTTGCTAACAGGCTAATTTTAAATATTTTTTTTCCCCAAGTTCTAGGGTAACACGATTGTGTGTTATATATCAAAGTCAGGTTGATAAGGAATTTTTTAAAATAATAGACTTAATGTGTTATATATGTATTTTTTAAAAACCTGTATACACTAAAATAGGTATAACAGTGAGATATTTAGAAAAAGCTTTTTTGCCTTAGTGTTACCGTAGGGTTGTGGCTTGGTTACAGGTCTGTTAGCCTGGCTATTTGACCATTGTTCTCTTGCTTCACCTCCTACATGCTTCACTTAAACCCTGCTGTGAAATTAAAAATTGTATAAGGCATTGAGAAAGTAGAGTCAGGCATGGTGTAAGTCATGTTGGACTGAGAAAAATACTAACCTGCTTTTTTCTCATAAGGAACTATAAAATTGACGACTGAATTTTCTCAATATTACCATAAATTAGACTCATTAATAGAATTTTAGCAATATATTGAAATTGTACAGCCCAAAGCTTCATGCTTTAGAAGGCAGCAGAAATGGAAATGATACACATTTTTATGTATTGGAAGCACTGAATTCACATTCTAGTCTGGTGACCTTACTGTTGCTTGATTAGGCAAATGTGCCACTGTGCTAAAAACTGTGATCTGAGATCAGTTAGCTGCAATGGCTGAGTCTGCCATAGACAGTTTCTGTCATTATCTCTTGATACTCTGATTCAGTATTATAAAGAAAAGGAATCCTTCAGCCAAACTATGTTGTCTTTTGTGTGTTTATCAGAGTTAAAATTTGCTGGGGAAAAAAAAGATTTTTTTTTTATTATCTGCAATATAGCTTTCAGTTTCCCAATCAATAACTAGAAGGCAGAACAAGAATTTTGTTGGTTAGAATTCCAACACTTGATTTTTATCAAGTACTAAAAAAAAAACAGTCCGTTCTTAATAACTGCCTGTCTTTTGAGTTGACAAAAACTGATATTTTAACCACAAATAATTTCAATTGCTATTTTTTAGTCCTGCTGTTAATTACAATATTATTTTTAATTTAGAATTAATCTAAAGGGTATGAAGTGCTTTGCAAAGAAGACATGCTCAGTTATAATTAAGTAGAAGATAAATAATATGAAAAACGTCTGTATTGAAAAGGGATAATTTTACAGTAGTCAAGGCAACAGAGGAAACTTGATAGATTATTTAGCTCTTATTTTCATTTTTTAAGAAAATTATTTGTTTAACCTTTACTTTGTAAATGTTATTGTCAAAAATCATGTGCATTTCATGTGCAGTGTATTTTGAAACATATATTGTAAGATGGCTAATGTATTATCACATGCATCATATTTTCTAATAAAATGGCATTTTCTTCAGGAGAAAATATTCTAGCTCCAGTTTCTAAGAGAAGTGTGTCACATAGATGTAGGAGACGCTGAATAATAAAATGGATACATGTTAGGGTGCTGAGTTTTGTCAGTATGGTACATGTTTTAAAAAGTTAAGATATGGATCTGCATGTTACATGAGTGATAATAGGTAAAACAGCCATCTAGGACACCCACATTCCATTTGTTTTAAGTTCCACTTCCAGTCCAGTTCCCTGCCAATGTGCCTGAGGAAGTAGCGGAAGCTGGCCCAAGTTCTTGGGCACCTGCACCCACATGGGGGATCCAGAAGAAGCCCCAACTCCTGGCTTCAGCCTGGCCCAACCCCAGCCATTGCAGCCATCTGGGCAGTGGATCAGCAGATGGAAGATTCTTTTTATCTCTTTTTCCTCTCACCCTTTCTCCTTTTCTCCTTCCCCTTCTTCCCACCCCATCTCTCTGTAACTCTGATTTTATTTTAGAAATTTATTTATATTATTGGGAAGGCAGATTTACGGAGAGGAAAGACAGAGAAAGATCTTCCATCCTTTGGTTCCCTTTCCAAATGACTGCAACAGCTGGAGCTGAGCTGATCCAAAGCCAGAAGCCAGGAGCTTCCTTCAGGTTTCCCACCTGTACAGGGTCCCAAGGCTTTGGGCCGTCCTCCCCTGCTCTCCCAGGCCCCAGTAGGGAGCTGGGTGGGAAGCAGCACATATACTGGTGCATATGGGAAGCTGATGCTTGGAGGTGGAAGATTAGCCAGTTGAGCCATCATGCAGCCCCTGTAACACTGATTTTAAATCGGCAAATAATTCTTTTTTAAAAAACAGGATGATAGTGAAAGCAGAAGTGTAAAGTTTAGCTGGGTGAAAATGCCAGATTCCACAGCAGTTTTTTTTAAAAGATTTATTTATTTTTATTGCAAAGTCAGATATACAGAGAGTAGACACAGAGAGGAGGATCATCCATCCGATGATTCCCCCAAGTGACCGCAATGGCCGATGCTATGCCGATCTGGAGCCAGGAGACAGGAAATTCTTCCAGGTCTCCCACACGGGTGCAGGGTCCCAAGGCTCCAGGCTGTCCTTGACTGCCTTCTCAGGCCATGAGCAGGGAGCTAGAAGGGAAGTGAAGCAGCTGGGATTAGAACCGGTGCCCATATGGAATCCCGGCGTGTGCAAGGCTAGGAGCCTAACCATTACGCTATTGCACTGGGCCCTCCACAGCAGTTTTGAAAGACAGCTGTACTCATTACAAGCAATAGGAAAGTATAATTAAGGTCAGCTTTTCACTGAGTCACACTTAACATTGTTCTTAAAGAAAACACTGTTGTCTCAACAGCTGTTAGAATGTTTTATCTTACTGCCTTTCAAAAATACATCTTTGAGACCCAGCACAATAGCCTAGTGGCTAAATCAGTGCCTTGCATCTGCAGGAATGCCATATGGGCCAGTTCATATCCTGGCTCCTCCATTTCCCTTCCAGCTCCCTGCTTGTGGCTTAGGAAAGCAGTAGAGGACGGCCCAAAGCCTTGGGACCCTGCATCGGTGTGGGAGACCCAGAAGAAACTTTAGGCTCCTGGCTTCAGTTGGCTTAGCCCGGCTGTTGTGGCCAATGTGAAGTGAACCAGCAGACAGAAGATCTTTCTGTCTGTCTGTCCTTCTCTCTGTATATCTGCCTCTCTTAATTAATTAATTAAAACATCTTAAAAACCACATCTCTGAACATTTTTCTAATGTTAAATACAACATGAATATCATG